TTTTAAAAGTACCCTAAATGAAGTAAAACTGGAGCCAGGGACATGTTGTGATGCTGTGTGTCACTGAAAGCATTAAATGTACCAAGAGAGCAATACTACTACCATTATCTTTAACTTAGTGGAGAAATGAGAGGCACACATATTAGAATTATGTAGGAACTGCTGAAAACTTGAATATAGTGATGCAAGTTGTTTTATTTCCTGTTAATATGTTTTTAGGCATAGTGGTCCAGTCTTACAGTTTTATTAATAGGGACTATGCTTAGATATTTTTAAGTAATTTAGTTTTTATGAACTCACGTGATAATTTAATCATCCTTTATAAAGAAGGCATTTGAAATGGGAAAAAACTAAAACTTTTGGAGTGTTCACATTCTATGCCATGCCCTTCGCTTGACACTTTATATATCTAATTTAATCCTCATTTTAAAACCTTATAGAGTGATTAATATCCCTGTTTCATGATGTGTAAAAAAGATGTCCAAGGGCTCTAAGCTAGGATAACCCTAAGTTTTAAACAACTAATGTACATATGGACTTTTGTAACTTAGTACCAAGAGGCTTCTTTTTATTCCTGTCTCCAGTTTGTTTGTTTTCATTTTTTTTGTGTGATAGTACAATATTCAGCTGGATATACTACTACCTAGCTACACAACATTTTTGCAGGCCCCCTTTCAGCCATATGTGGATATACAGCAAAATTCTAGGCTAAAGTGCGATTTGTGTCTTATTTTCCTTCCCACAGGCTGGACTTAGGATACACTGGCAAGAACAGGGCAGCCATCTTGAACCACAAGATAGAGACTACGTTTTAAAAATGGGAGAAAACAAGATATAAGGAAAACTATGTATCAAGCTGGTGAAGCAGTCTTAGACAGACTGCCTAGACATTTTTATTTAAGTTGCTACATTTTTGTGTATATTTCTATTTTACATTGTATATGATGTAACACTTTATTAAAACAGCCTGTATGATATACTATGACTAAGATATAACCAATATATAACATTGTTTCTATGTTTCTTTGTAATTATACTTTTGATGTTGAACTTGAATAAAACATTCCATTTTATGATGATCATCATCAGTTATGAAGACACTTTGCTTGTAATTCAGAGAACGCAAAAATAAATCAAACCTGTTTCATCCATTTCAGTTATAATTTGAGAATATATTAATATATATATGACTAAAAACAATACAATTATCTAGAAGACCCCCATTGTCTCAGCCCCAAATCTCCAGAAACTGATAAGCAACTTCAGCAAAGTCTCAGGATACAAAATCAATGTGCAAAAATCACAAGCATTCCTATACACCAATAACAGACTTAAAGAGAGCCAAATCAAGAATGAACTGCCATTCACAATTGCCACAAAGAGAATAAAATACCTAGGAATACAACTAACAAGGAATGTAAAGGACCTCTTCAAGGAGAACTACAAGCCACTGCTCAACGAAATAAGAGAGGACACAAACAGATGGAGAAACATTCCATGTTCATGGTTAGGAAGAATCAATATCGTGAAAATGGCCATACTGCCCAAAGTAATTTACAGATTCAATGCTATCCCCATCAAGCTACCAATGACCTTCTTCGCAGAACTGGAAAAAACCACCTTAAACTTCATATGGAACCAAAAGAGAGCCCGCATAGCCAAGTCAATTCTAAGCAAAAAGAACAGAGCAGGAGGCATCACACTACTGGACTTCAAACTATACTACAAGGCTACAGTAATCAAAACAGCATGGTACTGGTACCAAAACAGAGATATAGACCAATGCAACAGAACAGAGGCCTTGGAGGCAACACAACATATCTACAACCATCTGATCTTTGACAAACCAGACAAAAACAAGCAATGGGGAAAGGATTCCCTGTTTAATAAATGATGCTGGGAAAATGGCTAGCCATGTGCAGAAAGCAGAAACTGGGCCCCTTCCTAACACCTTATACTAAAATTAACTCCAGATGGATTAAAGACTTAAACACAAGACCTAACACCATAAAAACTCTAGAAGAAAATCTAGGCAAAACCATTCAGGACATAGGTGTAGGCAAGGACTTCATGAGCAAAACACCAAAAGCATTGGTAGCAAAAGCCAAAATACACAAATGGGACCTAATCAAACTTCACACCTTCTGCACAGCAAAAGAAACAGTCATTAGAGTGAATTGGCAACCAACAGAATGGGAAAAATTTTTGCAGTTTACCCATCTGACAAAGGGCTGATATCCAGAATTTACAAAGAACTAAAACAGATTTACAAGAAAAAAACAAGCCCATTCAAAAGTGGGCAAAGGATATGAACAGATAGTTTACAAAGGAAGACATACATGAGGCCAACAAATATATGAAAAAATGCTCATCATCACTGGTCATCAGAGAAATGCAAATCAAAACTACATTGAGATACCATCTCATGCCAGTTAGAATGGCGATCATTAAAAAATCTGGAGACCACAGATGCTGGAGAGGATGTGGAGAAATAGGAACACTTTTACACTGTCGGTGGGAGTGTAAATTAGTTCAACCATTGTGGAAGACAGTGTGGCGATTCCTCAAGGATCTAGAAACAGAAATTCCATTTGACCCAGCAATCCCATTACTGGGTATATATCCAAAGGATTACAAAGTGTTCTATTATAAGGACACGTGCACAGGAATGTTCGTTGCAGCGCTGTTTACAATAGCAAAGACCTGGAAACAACTCAAATGCCCATCGATGATAGACTGGACAGGGTAAATGTGGCACATATACACCATGGAATATTATACAGCCATCAAAAATGATGAGTTTGTGTCCTCTGTAGGGACATGGATGAACCTGGAAACCATCATTCTCAGCAAACTGACACAAGAGCAGTAAATCAAACACCTCATGTTCTCACTCATAGGCGGGAGTTGAACAATGAGAACACATGGACACAGGGAGGGGGGCACTACACACTTGGGTCTGTTGGGGGGAAATAGGGGAGGGTCAGTGGGGGGTGGGGAGTTGGGGAGATATAGCATGGGGAGAAATGCCAGATATAGGTCATGGGGAGGAAGGCAGCAAATCACACTGCCACGTGTGTACCTATGCAACAATCTTGCATGTTCTTCACATGTACCCCAAAACCTAAAATGCAATAAAATAAATTTAAAAAAAATACAATTGTATGTAGTTAAACTCAATTTTATGTAATTATTGCACATTAAGAGACATCCACATACTGGTGACAGTTATAATATTAAATAACATCTCAAAACCACTACTCAATTATTTAAAACTGAAACACACACACACCAAAAAAACAACAAAAATAACAACTATTATAGCAGATAAAACAATGAAATAGAAAGAATTTCAATAATGAATATATTACATAATGGAAATTTCATATAGATAATGAAAAATCCTTTCTCTGGCAATGCTGAATCCTTTGGCATAAGAAAATGGCACAATTTGCCTAGGTGTCACACCTCTGAAAATAAAGCCTACCCGAAAAATAGAAGTACGAGGCCGAAAGTAGGAGCACCCAGAAAGCCCACTACAGGTAAAGATTAATTGTGATGAAAATACCTCCAGAACAAAAGTACTGCTAATTGTCATCATGTAAAAATAACATGCCCTTTTTCTCACATTAACATCTCAATTATCCTTTGACTAAATTTACTTTAAGAGGCACCAACATTATATTTAGTAATCATTAATTTTAGTATTTGTAATTTTCCAACAATTGAAAAATTACCATATGCATGTAATACATGCATAATTTTTAAAAAATTTTAAGTACTTTCTCTTAAGTTAGATGAGAAAACTCTTAAGTTGCCCAAATAATATTACATTGAAATTAAGAATTTTTAGTGATTTCAGAAGGGAAATAACTGCAATTAATGTTTCATATTAATGGAGTTAGGTATTTACCAGGTATTACTAGGTGAATCATAAAGACTGTGTGAAACATAAAAAGGCACTAGAAGATAAGAAGACGGTTTTATCAATTTTAGAGGCTATTTTCTAAAATAGGTCTACTGTTTTAAATTTTTAAATATGCAACAAACCATATTTGAAAGCCATTTCATAGTTATTAACCACATCCTATTATGCAAAACCTTGTCATATCAATACATCTATGTTTACACACATACATGTATAGCTATATTTATACCTAGCTCAGTTGTACTACCATATGTGTGCATTTTTCCTTTTCTAGTACTTCCTATTTAGCTTTTTTCCTTTCTCAATAGGGTCAGATCAAGGTCACAGCACAATTACACATATCTAGGATTCCTGAAACACAAGCATATTATTCTACTATGTTTTTTCATGTCACATTTTTCCTCTCATTAAGGATCTGCATGAATCCATATGTGCAGTGTCGCATTTCACACTCAATTATACTATAATTGTCAAAGTGTGGCCTTCACATTTCACATTGGATTATGCTATAATTGTCAAAGTGTGACCTTCCAAAAAGAGGAATAACTGTTTTTATAATAAAGCATATTTTAATATGTTTTTATAATGAATTGCCAGGTCTCGCCTTGCACTGTTCATAAATCTTCCCTGGCATTCTGCCTGATGGCACACTAAAAATCATGCAGAAAAGGCAGAGGCAGAAGCAGTGATTGGTAAGGACAGTTTTCTCAACCATGTTTCTGCTTTGAAGAACATATAAAGATGAGGGCACTTCTATTTCAGTAGCTTGTAGGAAAAAATCTTGTTTGACAACTATGACATGCAATACAATTTCTCATAGTTTGGCTGTTTATAGCAGTTGGTAAAATGTCAGAGTTGCAGTATATATCAATAGCAAATGATATATGTGCGTTCTTAATTTGTAAGACTGAAGAAAGAGTTACTTTTACTTCTGTAGGCGATCCGTTATATTTTTTGGGGAATATTTATTTGTTTATTGACAGCTATTAATGAAAGTGGCTTATAATAAGGTTTCCTTTAGAAACTATAATTAAATAAAGCATTACACAAATGCTGATATATACAATCTTACCAGGTGAAGATAAGGCATAGTAATGTAGATATTAAAATCAAAACTTGATTAAACATTGCAGACTGTGTACGCTGAATGGCTCTGTGTAGATCATTCTAAAATAATATAAAAAAAAATTTTTTTTAATTTAGACAAATACTAAATACTCACCAGTTTCATTACATTTATTATATATATTTCATGTCAACTGTCCTGTACGGCTACATACATATGTAATCAATATATGTATTTCAAATAGAAATATAAGCATATTTCCATTTTTGCCTAGATCTAAATGTAACTTACTAAAGCTTGCATAGTACAAAGATATTGCTATAAGAAGACTACCACAGCACTACATTTCAGTTTACCTGCTTTACAGACATCGGAACAGGTGTTGCACTTACTTCCCTAAACCTCTACATATTAAGCATGATCTCTGATGGAAAATCCTAATTTCAAAAGATCAGAAAATAGTATATTTAATTAAGGAAGAGGGAATAGATGAGTGAAAGTACAAACAAGGCTCATTATCAGGAAAATTAACATAAATTAGCCCAGGCAGTTTATCTTGAAAAGAAAAATAAAATAAAACAACCAGTGAACAAATTTTTTCTAAGTTTAATTTCTTTAGCACTACAATAGATGTCAATTCAAGATATGCTGTACTTCTTATCTTTCCAATAGACAAACAGTAAAAAATAATATTTAGTGTGTTTAAAGTGCAAAAATGAACACTCACATACAGTACCCCTTGGTACTTCATTATAAATTTCTAGAAGGCAATTTGGTAATATAAGTAAAAACTCAGAAATATATCCTATCTCTTTCATGCATTAATTCATTAAGTATTTACTCAAAAATATAATTTCTAAAATCTAACCACACAAAAGTCACATGATATGGGCACCAATATTTATGTTCATCTTTATTATAAAATTATGATGCTTAGTAAATGAAATAATGAACGTTCATAAATGTTAAAATAACCAAATATGTAATATAAAAATTGTTACAATAATTGATATCTACATAAATTTCACCAAATCCATTAAAACTGATTTGAAGAAGAATTTTTAGTAACATAAGAACTAGTCCACTACATACCAGTATATGACAAAATATCCCAATTATAAATTCAGACAGACAATATCATTCCATGTATGGTATGTGTGCATATTTTTGCATGGAAAATATTAGAATGATATTAATTATTACCAGTGTTTAGTCTATGCAATGGATTGATGGATTTTTATAATTTGTACCATTTTAATCTTCATTTATAAATAATAAACACTTAGTCTTAAACCAGTATGGCACAAGATAACTAACTTCACCAATAAAAAATACCTCAATGGGCCCTCTTTGTCTACCACTCACTTTGTCTACAACTCATTTAACCAGAACTGTTATGAAGACAAACAACTATGTTGACTGATTAGGATTTCCTCTCTCATCCTCTAGTTTCTTATGGCAGAGGTGTTAACGAACCAAGAAGCAAATAAAAACCTGGCATCTGGTGACAGGAGATATGGAAATAACATGGAAAATTAATCTTAAATCAATATTGCAAAACAGGCTTTTTTACTCTCAATATTTGTCTTATGTATCCTGTCTCGGTTGAATTATTTTTTCCAACAACTAATAACACAGAAATTAACAAATAAGTTTATTTTTTTCTGGTGTATTTTTATTCATTAGCAATTTAGGCAATTTATATTTAGTCAAACAGTATTTCTTTGGGGCGATTAAGATGGTCCACTATTTCTGCAATTCATTTCATAGGCCATGTTCTGCCACCCTTTGGCCATGTTCTTTCATAAGACTGCAGTGGTTACTTGATGAATGTTTAGAGACATTCATCTGGTTGTGAATACTAAAATGTTATCCAAATATTCCTTTTGCCCAAAACTTTAGTCATAATGTCTGTTTAAAACCCAGTTAAATGGAAAATAAGTTTGCCTCCAAGTAAGTAAAATTTTCAATGCAGTAAAATTAATAATATTGAGCCTTTAACTCTGTTATGCCAGATAAAATATTATATACACATACTACACATATGTATGTGTGTACACTGTGTATATATGTACGTATATATACTTTCATTTGCTTATCACAGCAAACTTGTGATGTAGGTGCTTTTCTTTGCAGATGAAGATAATAGCAGAGAAGTTAAATCATTCACCCATCACATTGTTTAGCATATAGTGAACAAGAACTAACATTTGTGGAATGAATGACTCAATGGTGATGTCTTACAGTAGCTTAGAAGTACTAAAGTTTGTGGTAAAAATGTTTTGGTCATAGCTATAAACCATGCCTCCAAGCAGGGTCATCCTTGGGCCAGATGCAACTGTGGCACAGCTCTGAGTTCTGCATCTCTTTCTCTACCTCTTGCTTCCTTTTCTCCTAATGTCCCACCCACAACTCCACTCAAGCAAATCCAGAAGGATGACTCGAAATGAGGGGCTTCTGGCTCCCACACAGGATTTTAGGAAACCCAGATTTTCACTGAATATGGACTACCTATAGTTAAGAGCAGTTTGACAAAAATCACTTACCTGGGCCCTCAAAAGCCAAGAGTCCCATTCTATATCCACAAACTGCCTTGGAAGGGAAGGATATTTGTACTCTAAAGATTGGCTAAGTGGTGAACCAGTCCAAAAACCAATTAGGTTTTTAGAGACATTGAGAAATTCTGAACCATTTTTGTTTACCAGTCATATAGGCCTTACAAAGGTAGGAACTTGGCAATACGGACATTTTAGTTCTGTTAACTTACAAATTTATACAATGTACCCCTTTAATTATTTAACAGTATTTTACCAAAATGACTTATTTAAAAAAAATTAAATGAAACAATTTACTGTGACACAAAATTAATTTTTTTTTTTTTTTTTTGAGACGGAGTTTCGCTCTTGTTACCCAGGCTGGAGTGCAATGGCGCGATCTCGGCTCACCGCAACCTTCGCACTTTGGGAGGCCGAGGCAGGTGGATCACGAGGTCAAGAGATCGAGACCATCCTGGTCAACATGGTGAAACCCTGTCTCTACTAAAAATACAGAAAATTAGCTGGGCATGGTGGCGCGTGCCTGTAATCCCAGCTACTCAGGAGGCTGAGGCAGGAGAATTGCCTGCACCCAGGACACAAAATTAATTTAAAAGAAGTTTTAAAAGGAAACACTTGGAAATTTAATTACAGCTAAATTAATTCCAATAGTGTGAGTTATACAATACGGGAGAATACAGAATGAGAAAGTTCAAGGCTAGATCCCAAATTATCTCTCTCTCTCTTTAATCTAAACATTAAAATAAATGTTTTATTTATCTTTTCATATTTGTATTTCACTTCCATACTTACAATCATATTTTCCAAGGCATGCTTGGCAAGCCAACAGTTCAGAAAGACTGGGACAAATAGATTTCTTAAGGAAGGCCAGAAAATCTGGAAAACAAATCAAAACTAGACTTTTATCTCAAAGCAATAAATCATACCCAGTAGACTTAAAAGAAACAGAAAAAAGTTATTAAAGAATGTGTAATAATTTAAAACATGACAAATGATGTAAACTCATTATTAACAAAATACGAGAAATTGATATGTTCTTTCATTCATTGTCTGAATCTTTCTTATGGAAATCATTGCAGAAGCAAAAAGAAAATAATAAGCTCTCACCAGATGGCAGATATCTATGCTAATTCTATCATTAAATCTTTTAGTGTGATGGTTTGTAATACACATTGGCTTTTTTTTCTTTGTAACTTGAGGTATTAACTAGAAACAAAGAGGGAAGGCACTCTCTCTTTTTATAATATTACCTCTTACTTTCTTTATATTAAACCATTTTAAGTGACATTGGGAACTATGTTGAATTAGAATTATATTTAGTTAACCTGTCATTTAATCTACTTCCAGTTGCTTCTCTTGATAAATCACTCAAATTAAAATAATTATCAGAAGAGAACAACAGCTCCAGGTAATATCTACTTATTTTCAAAATCTCCCAAATAAAATTCAAATAAAGTGTTATAAAGTATAATCCCAACAGACACTATTATAACTTTATAAAATCGTGATTAAAATATAATTTTGCAAAAGCAAAGTGTTGTGTGATATATTTATGGGACTATAGTTGAATAGGATCATCACGGAACTGTTAACACAGAGCACTTTGAAAAGAAACAAACTGCTAGATGTCTGACTTTTGGCAATCTCTTTGCTAAAAAGAGAATTTGGCTTTGTAAATCTTGTGGTTAAACCACAGACAAGTATTTTCAACATATGAGAAACTTTTGTAAATACATTTTCAATTGGCTTGTTTTTTTTAAAAAATTCCACAATATGAACAATAAGTAGATGAGTAATTTCTAGTCATTTTAAATAATGACACTTGTCAAATGGCATTCCCAGAGCATATATCTCTTTAAAATATTTCACTTTGCTATTGTACTAAATTATTAGTTTCCATTTAATTATACAACAGTTATCCAACCAATTTTATTTTGTTGCTTAGTATCATGATTCTAACCAAAGTCTAAATTCATTTATCTTAGCTCCCATATTATTTAACAGTATCTAGAGTTAAAAATTTTACTTAAGTCTAATTACAAAAGTGTTTTTAAGGTTCTTTTAGGACTTACTGAGATAATGAAGGGAACTGCATTAATTATTTCCAAGATGAAGGGTATTCGTAAAATCTGTTCCCAAATGTTTCCCTTCCAAGAAAGAATGAATAAAAATGAAAGTCAATTATACTGAATCATATTAAAGGGGGAAAAAGACAGCACTCAAAATTTCTCTAACAATAAGGATGTTTCCATTAACAGAATACTGAATATTACATAGAGATGTAGCAATGACTTTTAGAGATTATTTTTCTTAGTGTAATCATGCTCTCTCAATTTTATAAGTTTAAGAAGTAAAACAAATGTTCACAGAAACCATGAATATTGCACATAACATTTTTTAATCATGTAATATGTCATGGAAGAAAAGTTACCAGTAAAAATAAAACACATTAACAAAACCTACAAAATCAATTAAAAAGTGACATTCCAAACTTTTATTTACTCTAATAATGATATTCACGAATCATCAAGCATATAAGTCTGTGGAACATATTCTTGTTAACAATCATTGGTATTAAAATTGTTTTCACTTTAATAGAATTTAAAGGAGTAACTTTCTCAATTATCTAGATTTTAATCTTCCTACCTTCATAATACAGAAATATTAATCAACACTAAGTACATAATTTGAAGGACCCAGTGCAAAATGAAAAATATGAAGCCTCCTAATAAGAAATTAACAATTTCAAGAAGGTAACAAAACATTCAACTAACCACGAGGGCATTCTGGTTGCAGAGCCCCATGCTGACCCTCATATTATGCACAGGTTACGTTCCCATGAAGATGACCCTAACATTAATAGGTCACCACTGAAACTCTCTTGATTGGTGTCGGATGATAATAAGCACAGACCCTCCTAAAGCAGTTTATTCTTCTATGGAGAGATCTGTGTATTAGCAAGGCAATTTGAAATCTGCCATCCCTGAAATCTCCAATGATCCATTATAACACTGACTATAAAATTGGGACTCTTTAATTTTCCTTAAGGCCGCAAAGGCTAAAAACTACATTGATGGAATAAACTTGCACATCCCAAAGCAAAGTTCTGGAGCAGCTATTGTCTCTATGTACTAAGAAATTAATAGGTTTTATGAGCATCATTTATCACCCTCGTCCAGGCTGCTTAAAAACAGTAAAGGAGTGTTTAGAAGAAAGGGAAGCAGTGACAACGCCTCCTTATAGAGATGTTACAGGTGTTGTGGTGCATATCTCATCACCTCAACTTTGTGAAAAGGCTCTAGGGAACCACTTAGCTTGGCTCCAACATGGTGACTGTATTTGACTACTGCCTAAACTTTTAAAAATGAAAAGATCAAAGAAAAAGATGACTGGATAAGGGCAGGTCAAAATCCCCAACTTTAAGGAAAGGTGGCTACTTTCTGGAAACCACATCAATGCCTCCAGCCTAAAGAATGGAACCTATGGTTATTTAAAAAGGATTTACTCTCAATAACATTGTGTACCTGAAGGTGAAATGGGGCTTCAGCAAATGGTGGACCTGAAAAGTCTGTGTCAGGCTCCTAGTGGCTAGCCTGACACAGAGGCCTCCAGGAAATTATAAGGCCCCAGACAGGACACAAAAGCTTCATACGGGAGAAAGGGCCAGAGCTTGTATCTGCCATGTGGAGCAACCCAACACCAGACAGTAACTGCCAGTCAGGCAACTTCAACCCAGAAACTAACTGCACTTACTTCCTGTTCTTTCTCAGTCTTGAAGGGCATCAAATAAGATATTAAGTAGTAACAGCAGATAGGCCTCCCTATGATAATTCCCTGTCCCAGGTACGTCTGAGTTGAGGACAGACAGAAGCCTTCTTAGAGGAGAATTTTAACTGTTTGCATATATTGATCACAATTTCTTAAATACTAAACTGAGAATTGCCATATAAATGAAAAGACTAGAAAAGCTATAGCATCTCCTGAGATGCCATCTGATTAGCATAGATCAGACTGAGGATGCATGGTGTTGAAGAAGTATAGAAAGACTGGTATTTTCCTACTACCACTGAATCAGGACTATTTAACTAACAAGAGTTATAACTAGTCTTAGTTATACCATGTTTTTTTATGATTGTGCAGGATAATAATATCATTTCTTTCATCAGTTTTTACACGACGTCTTTTCCAGAATGTTTATCCTTTGCCTTACTTTTCCCTTATTGTATTTTCACTTTTCATTGTATGTCTTTTTTGGTGTCACTGATTGTCCCCAAGAAGACATTGATCTGACTAGCAAGAAATGAGGGGTATGGGAACAGTTGCTACTAGTAATATGAAAGGATACTTCTGTTAATGCCCAGCAACGTTAGTATGAACTATGGCACACTGCATAATTTAGTTTATGTAAACAAAACCTTTTATCTCTCTTGTAGTTCTCTTCATTTCCATTTATAACACATTAGCCTTTTATGATTGTTATTTAAACCATTTAAAAGTCTTAAAACTGGTATCTGTCTATGTTGGGTTTGTTTCTGATTTTTCTTCCATATTAAAGCCAGAAGAATCTTTCTAAAATGCCAAATTCCCATTGCAAACATAATAAAATCCAAATTCATCATTGTATTACATGAAATTTCACAATTTGAACTCTAGCTACTAGCTTGGCTTGTACTTTAGGTATTTCTATTCCTATCCTTAACTCAACACAGATTCAGTCATACTGAATTTTATATTCATCTCTGAACAAGCTAGGTTACTTTATGCTCGGATACCTTTGCCCACATCTCTCCCTCCGGCTGGAATATCACACTCCCACACCTCCACTACTAATCCCTTTGGCAAGCATTTGTAACATTTCAGGGAATTAATTTTTTAAAATGCTTGTTGGGGATCAATGAATATCATGAATGAGTAAATGATATTCCCAGCTATTTCATATATACTCTTACCTTTCTTTTATATAGTTGTTTCAGTTTTGAAGCTTATATATTTACATTTCTTTCCATTGGATCCAAATGAAATCATTGGAAAGCATGGTATTAAAACGTTTATTTATTTATTTATTTATTTTGAGACGGAGCCTCCTGGGTTCAGGCAATTCTCCTGCCTCAGCCTCCTGAGTAGCTGGGATTACAGGCACGTGCCACCATGCCCAGCTAATTTTTTGTAGTTTTAGTAGAGACGGGGTTTCACCATGTTGACCAGGGTGGTCTCGATCTGTTGACCTCGTGATCCACCCGCCTCAGCCTCCCAAAGTGCTGGGATTACAGGCTTGAGCCACCATGCCCAGCCAAAACCTTTATTCTTAAAGTAATCATGTATAAATGATTAAACCTGTAACTGGAGAGCCAACTGAAATTTTCTGGAGGAAATGATTCAAGAGTTCTTGCTTATATACCCATGTTAAGTAATTTCGGCCATGTTTCAGCTTCAACTTACAACCAATAAGCTAATAACTTCCAATATTTTTTTTTTTTTTTTTGAGACAGAGTTTCGCTCTTGTTACCCAGGCTGGAGTGCAGTGGCGCGATCTCGGCTCACCGCAACCTCCGCCTCCTGAGAATTGCCTCAGGCAATTCTCCTGCCTCAGCCTCCTGAGTAGCTGGGATTACAGGCACGTGCCACCATGCCCAGCTCATTTTTTGTAGTTTTAGTAGAGACGGGGTTTCACCATGTTGACCAGGATGGTCTCGATCTCTTGACCTCGTGATCCACCCGCCTCGGCCTCCCAAAGTGCTGGGATTACAGGCTTGAGCCACCGCGCCCGGCCCCAACTTCCAATATTGTATCAATAGCCCGAATCACTATTTTATCTCTTGAGATTCTGACTGAGATCAACTGCTTAATCCACTGTTTCACATCAATGCCTCAACAGCACTTTCTATGTAGTATGTCTAAAGCCAAACTTATGATTTGTTTCCTGACTTATCCTAGAGAAACTTTTTACATCTTCCTTTAATACTATACTTATAATTATACTATAATTTACCAATAAGACCTACTAATTTGTAAGCAGATCTTGAGATTTTCTAGTTCTCATTCCAGCTAATTTCTCACTTTTTGACCTGTTAAGCCTAATTAGCCACCATACCTTCATTCCCTCATTCTTGCCCTATGCCAATTTACCCACTGAGCTATTGCCATCCCCCTGTACCCTTATGCCAGACCAGGCCTAGTATTCAGAACTATTCATACACTTACACAACAAAGACAGAAACACAATTCCATCATATAAGGTACTATTTCATTTGTCTCTCGTTGACTTCTCCGCCCTGAAAGATCGTTCCTTCCGTGGACTGAATATATAAGGCATATTTACCGCTTAGAACATGCCTTATACTTTTGCATGTAACTCTTCAAGAGACTGGTTAAAGTTTCATCTTTCTTTCCAACTTCACTTTGTCAAGTTAACTCATACCTGCATTTCAGCTGTCAACCGAAATCTGAGTTTTTAGAGACTTTCCTTGCCTCTTCTTCATATACCCCCTAGGCAGAATCTAATACCCACATTGGGCTTCTTGATCCTCCATGAATTTCATTCACATTATTTTGTTTTTCAGTTTGTTTGTACATAACTGATACAACACTTTAAACTCTGTGAGGTTAGGGTCAGGACCAGTGTATTTTAGGGTTGCATGCTCTGCTCCTAGCACAGTACTGACAGTCTCAATCTCCCAAATAAAAACTGTTGCTACATTATGTCAATCATGTACTTTTGATTCACAGCACATGTATGCATATATTTGTGTGTTTGTGGACTAATTTTCGTGGCCTAAAATTGTACAGTGGGACAATGTATTGCTAAAAATGAATGCATCTCTTTTATGCACTGAGTTTAATTCTAAGATTTCAGGTTGCCTTCTGAACTACAAGATATATCCATAAGTTATCTTTCTTAAAAATAGCTAATAAAAAATAAATATGGAAAGGATCCACAAGTTTCATTGGCCAAGAAGGAGTCCCAATAAGCCTTCATCACAAAAACCTAAGGATAAATGCTATTATGATGAAAAAAGGCATGCATTCATACAATGCCACTATGTAAGAAAACTAAGAAATAAAATTGAAAGGCAAGCACAATGCTTTTCAATATTATATTAAAGACATTTTCCATTTAATCTGATTTTCATGAATGAGATTAAAAAAA